GATACCGATAGGGGGCCGATTATATCGTGCATCCCTAGTTTAAATAGCTGTTCAGTAGCAACATCTGATTTATAAACAGTTGTTTTACAGTCACGGGGAAAACTGTCTAGTGTCATTCACTGACACCTTCATTAAAGGCAATAAACCCCAAAAGTTTAGCCTTCTACTGATATGATATCTGTTTTATAGCGCTCTATCCATGCAAATAAAGTAAAGTTTAGTGGAAGATAAAACTGTGCAAGAAATATTTGCACTAATGCATATTTATTAAACTTTCTACGTATGTGGTAACCACATACATAGAAAGTATAACCACATTGTGGTTATAGTTTGAATAGATTCATGCTAATTATGTGATAATGCATGGTTTTATTAGTATTATTTTAGCGACTTTTTGACCTCCAAAGAGTGCCTTTTCTTTTAAAGTGCCAGTTCAGTCATTTTGTCATTTTTGTTTTATAAATTATAGCGTGATTTAGGATTTTTTTTTTCTTTGTTTACTTTACTCAGGAAGGAGGTTCCCTGATGTTTTACGCCAGCCAATGGCCCCAAAGGGGTGGAGAGAGCCCAGCGTTTTAAAGACTTTATTTGCCTAAGTTGTCTGACAGTGTGTGAGGATATGTAAGGGGATGGCAGCCCTGTGCCAGATCTTTTCCCTCAAGGAACCTCATTTATTTACGTGGAGATCCGGGAAGAACCGCGCGCCTTTACGCTTTTGGATGGCTCTTCTGTAACTTTGATGAAAGTTAAATATATCCAATAAAACTATGGCCGAGGAGCACAATATACTGACCGAGGATCCATGCAGCCCACAGAGCTGTGATAGCTCTGCGCCCCGGGATGAACTGGACCAAGAGCCTCCAAACTCTCCTGCTGGATCTGATGCGCGCGGAGCGGAGAGCTGCGCGCACGAGGAGCGCTTCCCCGCCTGCATCCGGGACGCGGTTTCACAGGTGCTGAAGGGATATGACTGGTCGCTGGTGCCTATGGCGACTCAGGGGGAGAGGGGGCTGAAGAGTAAACCTCACGTAAAAAGGCCGATGAACGCCTTCATGGTTTGGGCGCAGGCGGCGCGGCGGAAGCTGGCGGACCAGTATCCACATCTGCACAACGCTGAACTGAGCAAGACTCTGGGCAAGCTGTGGCGGTCAGTGTCTGATTTAGCTCACATAGAGCTATAGTCAATGGCTTAACAAAGTACAGAAGTTTTTCAAATCATCTGAAAAGATGAACATGTCTGCTTTCCTCCACTGCAGTGCAACAAACAAATGCCTTAAATATTCACAAGTTTAAAAAGTTTTAATCATTAAAATTGTTATTTATAGGGCAGTTGTTTTCAGGGCTTCTAGAAGGCTTCTGTAATCATTGGAAATGTTAGATCAATGACCAGGGGCGCCTCCA